AACTTTGAACTTCAATCGTCAAACCCAGCCGCTTGATTACTGCTCTTGGCTTCCAGGCAATGTACCGCAAAAGAACATAGCGTGGTTTTACGGATTAGGGCTTCGGGTTTAGTGCGTTTTGGGTTTAGGGTTCGCAGGGTTAAAGTCTAGGGTTGTAGGTTCCGGGGCTCTATGTTTACTGCTGTCTCGGGTGCGGAATAAAGTCTGGGAACCCTGAACCCATGAGTCGTGCAAGCAGTATGATTCCCTTGTAAGCTTCAAGGATCTTAAGAGAATCCCAAAGGTACGTAGCCTAAACCCTGAACCCCTAAACCCTAAACCCCACACCCTATAAACCTAACCGGTTTGGGGCATATAACCGTACAATCCAACTGCAGTCCCACCCACTCTCGCGTTTCTGTTCCAAAGCTTCTTTGCCTGTACGAGCCCGAAAGACTGCATGTTCACGGTTCAGGGTCAACATATTTAAGGGGTTTAGGAAGTTTAGGGTTTAGGGTCTTGAAGCCAACTTGAGTTTCAGAATCTCGGGAGCCCTTAACAGTCCCTGAAACAGCATCATCTGCACTATGCCCTAGCATGTAAACCCCAAACCCCGTTTGCCACGCGGCGCCGTTTGGAAGCATGGCCTCCGACACAACTTCTCCACCTGAGCCTGCCTCTTGGCTTCAATTACTGTGAAGGACATGTGCTTAGAAGCTAGGCTGGGTTCTGAAGGACTGCACAGAATCAAGAAGTGACTATTCGGTAAACCTATCTATAAATAAATAAGTATACATATATATATATATATAGATATGTACATATTTGCCCAAACCTTACATACAGTTTCACATTGCAGTTTATACTTATGTATATGGAGATGAAAATGCATATGCGCATGCTTAGGTACATGTACATTTGCATAAATGTATGCATGCATGCAAGCACATAGGTGTTGCCGGTGTGTTTAAATTTCGCATTGATTGCGTGTGTATCTTCTCCCAGAGGGTCCATATATACTACCATTACGGAATTACGTCCTAAACGACCATCCCCATCACGGTTTTTGGACCTAATTCCATGATAGTAGCGTATATGGACGCTCTTGGTCTGTGTATATGTAGCCGAAGTTTGAGGCATCATCTCTAGGTTGATTCAGAGCTCGATAAGCGCCATGAGGTTCCCTGAACTCACATTCACTATAGAGACCCATAGGGTCCAAGTATCATTATGGTATATACTGATAGGGTGTTTTGGGGGATCTAAGCATATACCATAGTGATACTTGGACCCTTTGGGAGAAAGCTTCTTGAGGGTTTAGTATTTAGGGTTTAGGGCATTAGGGCCACGCGTTTCGGGAGAGGTCTCAAGGAGACGTTATGAGGGCCTTCTTCGATATCGTTCCGGGGAAGGGAGTGACTCTGCCACGAGTGGGGTGGTCCGGGAGACCCAGACAAACACAGATCTGAGAAAGTTGGGTTTAGGGTTTAGGGTTTAGGGTTTAGGGTTTAGGGTTTAGGGTTTAGGGTTTGTTTATTCCATGCTCTCCATGTTCTTTGGTACTCTGGTATCGCTGCCGTGGTCTCCGGCACAAGGCATCCCAAGGGTGTTGCCATGCTTTGCCACGTCTGTTGCTCGCTGCAGATGAAGCCGGGCGATGGCTTTCGGAGCAGCTTTGCCAAGAGTCATCACGGCGATGCATCAGTGCCAGCCCGACAACAAATGCCAATACCCCGTCTCTCCACCCACACGTGGCGAAGAGTCGGCAAGGTCCAAGGTGCGCCTGAGTCTCTTTTTCTCGGGTATCATCATTGATGCCCGCCCGACTGCAGATAAATCCGAGCCAGTACAGAGACAGATCCAGGCACTCTGCCTGCAACGATTGCACTGCGGCATACCGCGGCCAACCCCGAAGCCCTATTCTAATCGTTATGGCCCCTGTATTACCTGGACGGTTCCAGCGGCCCCTTGCGTTCTTACCTAGAACGAGTCGCATGCCAAAGTTACCAGGAGGTGGTTACCAGCAGTGGTAGTGGATGGGCAATATGCTGTGGTCGGCCACCGACAGCTCGTGAAGGGTTCAGGGATTGGGTTTGTGTGGGCTCTTCCTTCGATTGGGCACGCATTGGCGTTTTGCTGTCGTTTCTGCGGGCTGCGCTGCATGGCGTGGGAAGGGAAATGGAGATGGTGGAGCGCTTCAAACGATGGAACCCTGTTTCGGCCCTAAACTTTAAACGCTTCGGCCCTAAACTTTAAACCCCGAATCCCTAAACCCTAAAGCCTTACAGATCCTCATAGTAACAAACCCGAAACCCCGAAATCCTAAACCCTAAAACCAGTTTCCGCTGTCTCGTGCCAACCGTGGCTACTCGATCTCCTTTGCACGTTAGGGGGTTGGAGGTTTAGGGTCCAGGGTCCAGGTTTTTAGGATGTTTGCCAACTGGCTTGGGCATGCTTTTATCAAGACGGCCCGATCAAGGTATGCTATTTGATAAATTCCGTCAGGGATTGGCTTAAACCC